ATGTTTCCTGTGTAATTCCATTACATTATATGAAGGCACATCTTGGATATTGGCTTATGAATATATATGAATGATAGCTTATAAGAGAGTGTTACAAAGTACTCTTAGAACGAGCAAGTAGTTTAGAATTTTTCATTCTCAAACCGGTTTTATGCAGTTTTACCTTTTACTTCACAGCACTAAGTACACTCTGTCAAATGTATATTTTGAAGCAGTAGATTTAGTTTTATTTAAGCCGTTTTTGTCTCATGTGACTGTAAATTAAAGATCTTTGAATTTTGCCAGAGTGACCATTTTATAAATCAAATATTAATCAAGAAAGCAGCCCTTTTTTTGAGTCTGCATATCCTTATATTAAATGTATATGTTTAAAAAAGTCATAAAAAGGATGTGAATATTCTTTTTAGATTCACAAAATGTCTAATACTGAAGGCCTTTTGCAAAAGGTCTTATTATATAATATTCATCATTTTAAAAATCCCACGTTGTACACAATGTTGTTCTCCATAAAGATGTATTAGTTTGCTTGTATTATTTAATTGTATCAACAAAGAACCCTACTATGTTTCATATTGTCCTCTCTGCTGATGTCCTCCCTTATTATGTTGTTGTTGTTTATCCTCCTCTCTGTCCATCTTTTATCAAATGGCCAAGCGTCTGTTTCTTGCTCTTTGACACTTTTGGCACCGGTCGTCCTGACCCACTTTTTCAAATGTTTACAGTTATTGTTATGGGCTATCTGCAGCAGGCACATTGCTCCATACATTTTTCGGTCCTGGAAAACAACAAACAAACGGCCAAACGAATGGTGGCCAAATCTGGGAAGACAGAGACTGTTACTCTAATCACCTCAGCAGCAGCAGCTCCAACAGTCCCATCCCTCTCTCTCTTTCTATCAATCTGTGTGTTCTGGTTGTCTATGAGTGTATGCATGCATGTGCATTGTTGATAGTGAGTCAGTAGCTGCATGTCGTTCCCTGTGTTGTGGTGCTCACGTGGCTGTACACAAACTTTGGCCAGGGGGTCCTGCACAATTACACTTTCTACGCAAACAAGCGTCTGACTAAACCCATTCCTTCATTCTCTGGAGGGAGCTGAGTTGAATGCATACAGGAAATTAAAGACTTTAGGTGTAAAAAAACGAGTTGGTTTGAAGGAAAGTTTAAATGTGTCACCTGTAACACTGAATAAGCCTGACGCTGGGATGTTTGGTCACATATAGGTCACCATATCCTATCTGTGGGTTTAATTGGGCCAATTTAGTACCTTATTTTATTTGTAACACATTTTTCTTCACAGTAAGCATTTTTGGGGTTTAGTATACTTGACCTCAAACTTATATTTGGTATATGACTATATGAAAATCTCCTTAAATATGATGAAATTATCCTTTTACTTTATTTCATCCACAAACATCATTAGAAGTTGAGTTTCCCTTTAATCCTTTATGTTTCTTCACATTCAAATGTGTAAAGACTAATTCAAAGCTAAGTAAAAAACACAGATAAGAAAATGCATTTTAACACATTAATGATGGCTCCTCGAAATGTCTTCTATGAACAAGCTGCATCCATATTTATGGAAAGGGACATTTCAGATATTTTAAGTGTTGAATAAGGTACCTTTCCTCAGATGGAGTTTTACTACAAGAGATGGCGGTTGTTTGAAGACTTTAGTGAATCCAGACACCAAAGACCTGATGACACAAACTAACTGACAGACACCATGGATCATGCTATACACAAAGTCATGGATTCAGGTTCTGTTGGAACGGGCTTTCAGACGGCAAGGTGGCGACTGGGTACGTGCCCACCGCCATCTGCTGTAGGTAATCATTCTGAACCATCCCTTCAACGCACCCACATGAGTGATGTTCTCATCTTAGCAAAACCAATGCTCGTATTGGCCCAAAATGTCATGCTAATCTTTCATTGCAAGTATCATTATTCGCAGGGGTCGCTCCAACATAAAATCTAATTGTTGCCCACTAGCCAAGGATAATATGTCCACTCTCCTCTTGAAAACCCTAACCCTAACCCTTCTGCTTCACATTCCAACCCTTAACATTAATAGAAAGAAACCAGACAAACTGTATTGATATACAGCTCCTTGTGACCCTCACTGAACCCCCATAGTTTCTCTTTCTCCCCATCATGTGTGTCTCCTGAGGGGGGGGAGGGGTAGTTATCAGGCCCGGCCAGCCCAGCCCAGCCCTCCTACCTGACCGCTGGCAGAGGGAGTGGCTGCTCTCGCCTGAGTATCTCCCACCACAACAGCACCAGGGAATGAGGAAATCAGGCTGGAGTAATCTATGCAGGCCCAGAGCACACTGGCCAGAGTGTGTGTAGTTTTTAAAGTGTGTGTGTTTTTTGCGAGTATGCACCATGCGCGTGTTCAGGAGCCCGCCACTCCTGCAACATCCGGCTATAAATCTATTGTGACACGTCAAACTGAATTTATGAGCCAATCTGCTTGCGACAGACATGTTTGATTTGAAAAGGGAAAGGAGGATGAAATATAAAAAATCTAGTGAGACTGAACTTCTGCTTTTTTATTTAAAGCGGGATAGTTAGAATATTTTGTTCTATATGTTATTTACTAAGCGTGCTTTAATCAAATGAAGCTCATTTAAATGGTCATTCCTTTTATGTGTCAAAATGTTAAAATGTTCCCAAAGACCTCTAAAGTCCAAATAATATCTATAGATGTAATGTGTATTTTAGAAAGTTACACACGACATGCAGAAGTAATAGGATCATATAGAATAGGAAAGAAAATATACCCTCCTGCAATTTCATGTTTATATTTATTTCAGTTTATTCACAATTGGCATACAGTACCAGGGAGGTCATTAATTTAATATGGTCACTTTTCTTAAAAAATACTTTCTTTTACCATGACGTACATAGCTGCTCTTTTTTTTTCATACTTATTGTGTTATCATCAATAGCCATTTTTTTCCTCACTTTATCTGCACTATCTGCTGTTGTAATAATGTACATTTCCCCGTTGCGGGACAAATAAAGGATTTCTGATTCTGATATAATATAGAAATTATATTTGGGGAAATATCATTTAAAAATCGACATACAGTTATACGACTGCACATTTTCACACCTATAAATGTAGGCCTTCGACATCTTTTTGATTATTTTGTTGTTCATTCAAAATAAGGACAAAGGTTGATGCTCTACCTGCAAGAACTAAGATTTGTATTGTAGTTTCTTTCTGCTTTTTTAAATGCATTTAGCCTTTTAGTTGTAATTCTACTTTTGCACAAATAATTAGTTTACTCTATGACTCATTTTAGTGTGAGTTTCATCCTTAAAACATCTTTCTGAACGGAAAGGAGCTAAGAAAAGCTACATTGAATTTCATTGTGATGGTATCAGCAACCCAATGTTTTGATAGTATTATCGGCATATCACTCTCCTGTTGCCTCTCTGTAATGACTGCTGAACTGCACTGTTTACCAGTCACATTCCTATACTGTTTCACTTCATAAAAGAAGTCCACACTGATAACTTGTTCTCTTTATGACTTTTTCTATCATTACAGTATTTTCCCTTTCATCACAAGTAGATGGAGTCCCCTTTGGTGTCATTTTTAATTCTAAAATACCCTGAAATCCATCCATTTCAGTCACACGGCATCTTGTTATGTGTAACAATATCCATCTGCGTCGATATTGTTTTTGTCAATAAACCACCACACACACACACACACACACACACACACACACACACGCACGCACACGCACACGCACACGCACGCGCACGCGCACACACGCACACCGGCAGCTGCCTGTTCCCTCAGTGGAAGCAGGTGTCTGTAAATCTCGTGGGGTTTGGGGCTTTTTTTTCTCTCTCTTTTCGGTGTAGTAGTAGATGGTGAAATTCCCAATGTGAAAGTCTGCTTCTCTCTCTGGCCTCTTTCCACAAGACACACACTAAACCACACACATTGCTGACAGGGAATCTTTACAACACTGCACTTTCGCCTCTTCGCTGCCTATTTAGTCCATCATTGTTACATTAAACCACATGTTTGTTTAGATATATGAACACACTTATAGCTGCAGTAAGATCATGAACCCCAGAGGAAACTATTGCTGTGTAGCTCGGCCTTAAATACCACAGTTCCTGTTAGCCGTGTGTCCGTCACGATGAATGTCTTTTTATGTATCCCTCCGAGACTACTACTTGAGATGGGAATCTATATTTGAGGGCACTGTGGTGGATCAGGGTGAGGGGGTGCAGGGGGTGCAGGTGGCAAGAGGAAGGGTAGGGGGGGTTGTAAATATAGATCCTGGTCTTAGCCCTTTGACTTTCATAGCCTCACAGGAAGACATGAGACTAAATGTGGAGCTCATACACGTGTTAATGTGTGTTTTTGGAGGATTTGATTGGACACGGTTCATTTAAATGTGTGAAGGAGTTGACTTGTTTTCTTCGCCAGTGTTTGTGTTTCAGGAACTTTCACGTGAGTGGGCCTTCTTATCCACAGAAAGAGAGGCAACAGTTGGATGAATTTGCTTATTATCTTCGCTTGCTGATAAACTCTGCACTCACTTAGTAATTGGCAGATGGAGGGAAAGTTTTATGATCTGCTCTGCACAACTTTATGACAACAAACCTTTGTATCTGCAGGATTGTGTGTGTGTGAGTGTGTGTGGGAGATGAGGGTGGGGTATTTGAATACTACAATCCTTGAAGATTTGCATAGTAGACACCAGATAGCAAATCATTCATTCACTTTAAACAGAGGAATTAGCCTGGACACTTGTGTGCCCTCATAGTGTTGTTTACACTGGTAACCTAAACTACTGCAGTCTATTTGTACTCAAATATTGACTTGTAAAAGCGTGTTTACAGCTTACATGTATGGAAATGTTGTTTATTCTCATTTAGGAACGGCTTTTGAATTGCTATTTACTTTTACAACTTCAACTGATGCTTTCATTTTGAATGATATGCCCAAAATGACATCAAACACAAGGATTTTAGTAAAAACAACACACTTTATTTACTAGGCAGTATAGAAAAGTATAAAAAAACATGAAAACTTGGCATGTATAAATGCTTTTATAAAATCCTTTTTTGCGCAAAGGCTACTATAAAAAAACAAGGCGTATACAAGTGTTTGTAATGGACTACTGCAGTCTTAGTAAGAAAACAAAATGATGATTGAATGTACAACAATATAAAACAATTCAAAAGAAATGTATAAAAACAAAAACCATACAAAAGTTTCAATTTGTAGCATTATATAAAATATCAGTGTTTAGTACCCTCGCTTTTTATGGAGAATATAACATTCAAGTGCAGCTTGGTTTTACTCTTACTGGGTGAGGCTCATTAAATATAAGCTTGTTTCATATTTTGTAAATATATATACTTTTCTTTAACACATATGCTTGTTCAATACAGGATACTGTGAAGGCCAGAAGTAAATTGAAATGAATTTAATTTCTATATGATAAGGTGCCAATGTGGTGGTCAGGTAACACTAATAAGGGTGGCCCCTTATGTTGTGTAACACATGATCATTCATAGTTTAATAACAGCGCTTCTGGCTCAGTAGTTAAGTGTTTACATAATGTGGCATGGACCAAACAATTGTAAAAAATAACAATAAAAGAAACAGAAACGTTTCATGACTGAAATAAAGAGGTCAGTTTTCAATCCATTAATATGCCTTTGGAATAATATGATAATGCTTAAATACTTAAAATCAACACTGCTCCATTGGCCAATTGTAAAAAACAAAACAATAATAACATTATCAAAATTAAACAAAAAAGGAAATAAATTAATCAACTTGTTCTTTATATTAATATTAAAATTCAGAATTAATAATACAGCCCATTGAAAATGATATAGCCACCGTTTCCCATTTATAATACAACATTTAAAAAAAAAATGACAAGACCAAGAGTAAGGACGTACAATAAAACCCAGAGCAAATTCTGTATAAAAGATTAAAAAAAAAGGTTAGTCTTTGGTTGGTTTAAAATCCAACAAGTGTGAGTGTAAAAACACCAATGGCAAAGAGCCTCTCCCAACTGTTGTACCACAACAAAAATGTAATCCGCCGCGCTGCGTCCAGCGCAGGGACTGCTGATCTTTCACTTCAACAAGTGTCTCTTTACATGACCAGTGTCCTCGTGGGGTAAGTGTTGATGTACTTGTGGCTCTGCTCCGAGGCCAGGACGTGCTCCTCGGTTTTCCCACAAGTCACCTGTTCCCAGGGACTGAGCTGCTGTTGACAAGGGATGACAGGAGGATGAGTTTATTAGCAATCACCACCATTTTTGTATCATTTTTTTAAAGACTTAGATCAAGAATGAGTGTTCTACAAGGAAATGAGTTGGCCTTTCTGGGTTCCCTTTTATCAAAGACAATGGTTTTTTGAATGAGTTTTTGGTAAGACGACTTAAATGGTGGTTAAAACAAGCTTTTCAAGATTTTCATTGTTTGTTATGCGACACATAATACGTCAGTAAATACCCAACTTATGAATCTTTGAAACTTTGAACATGTCTTTATAAAGGGGGTTCTCAAAAAGTTGAGACTAAACGAGTCCACATTTAGTTATTCGACCATGACGTATAGAGCATTTTTACTTTCTGGCAATCATATTTGAGTGGTTTTAATATGAAGAGATATTCAAAAGCCCAATGGAAAAGTCCCATTGGCTTTTGTCGAGGGAGTCCTTGCTATGCTAACTTCCTGTTTGGCCGACAAAAATACATAAATCTTGCACCACACTAGAAATGTGTACACACCTGTAGTGGGCTGCCCATGCCTCTGCGAGGGTGGTGGTAGGCTTTGTGTCCATCGTCACTCAACATTGAGCTGGTGAGTAGGTCCTAAATGAAAGCATACAAAACATATGTTAGAGACAGAAATCTAAATATTTGTGAGTGATTAAGAAAAGCTTTGTGTTAGAGAAGTTGAAGGTTGAAGGAGCTTACAGGTACTTCCTGTGCGGGGCCGCTTGGGGAGAAGAGCTGTGTGTGGAGCTCTTGTCCTTCCCACTGCATACACGGGCTCCTCTCACACGGGGACTCCACCTAGGATCCAGAAGAAATCCTGGTAAATATCACGAGAAACTTCGATAGTTGCAGTTCAAACCCTAAACCCATTATTCCTCAAAACTGTGTTGCAAAACTAATTCAATTTCTCCACATTTGCTAACAACAAATTCTTATCTCAGTCTCACATTTGCCTGCATGTTTCTTTTATACCCATGTGCTTGTTTTGAGTGTAAAGTACCTCTTGTTTGATCTTCTTCAGAGGAGGCTGGTCGATGGCACACTCCATGGGCTCCTGCTTGATGGAATCTATCATATGCTGCTCCGAAGGGGAGTTCTGGGGAAAGAGACCAATCCTCCAAGTAAGTCACAAGGAAACAACAGCAAGCACAACAGAACGCAACATACCAAATGAAAGCCTTGTGATATTTCTGAAGTTCCTCACCAGTAGTTTGACGGGGCCATACTTGGCCTCCTGCATGGCCAGGGCTGACCTGAAAGGCGTGGGCGTACAGGGGGAGGACTCCAGGATGGAGCGACGGATGTTTGGAGTTCTGAACCTGAGAGTTATAAAGAAGATTTTTTGTTAGGTGCCATTTACCACAACTTTGTATGATGAAAAATATGTTATTTAGAGAAATACAGCAACTTACATTTCATTCTGTGTGTGGGGGCTGATGGTGTGGTTGATCACGGGCTTGGTGTCCACGGGCGAACTCATCCGTAAACTGTCGTTGTCAGAGTGCTCCGAGCTCATTGATTGGTTGAGAAACTGTGGAACAAAAGGAAGCAAAGCCATCAATCAAAGTGGGAGGTTTATTTTAGAGCAATTTGGCAGATGATGGATAGAACACTAGGTCGGAACTACAGAGATGGAGAAGAGAGGAGAAAAGAGGGCCGGTGCAAATTTAAAATGATTGAAAAATATGGAGACAACAGAGATCTAATTCTAAATGATTGGTGGTTGATATGATCAGGTGGCAGGTTGGTGATTGGATGGATTCTGACCCCAGGCGGCTACTTTTACTACCTGTGAGGGTGAAAAGGGGAGCTTTCTGACTGGTGAGGGCTTGGGAGTTGAGCAGGTGAAAGCAGCCCATGCTCTGTGAGCAGTTCCTGAGCCCTGATTGGGCGAGAGGACCCTGTCTGTTCTGAGAGCGCTCCTATCACGGAGCCCGCCGGTAGTGGCCTCACCCACTGAGGAGAGGCTCTGGGAAAATGGCGGGAAAATATGGGTCAAAGCCCACTACTTGGTAAAATGTATGTTGCTACTTGCTATGCTATCCTTTTTTAACTTAAAAATGTCATCTTACGCCCAAACATAATCTAAATGCAGATACTTACTGAATCGATGACACAGTCCATGAACTCTGGAATAGTATTTGAGAACGTTGGATTGTGGTGAAGGCTGTTGTTGTTGTTGTTATTATTGTTGTTTCTGCCGTTTGAACGTGATGCAGAGGCGCTCTCCTCAGGTAGGCAGCTCTGACCCAGAGGCAGGGCGGGGGCGTGGTGGTGAGGTAACAACATGACGCCCTCTGAGCTGCTGGTCAAAGCGCTCTGGCTGGCCCAGCTGGGATAGGGCAAATTCATCTGGGGGAGAAAAAGATACAAAGATTCAGAGTTAGAGCACTGCGAAGAAGAATCATCTGGAGTTTCAAAAAGGCGCGAGAGACACATTTCAAGTCTGACAAGAGGAAAGGGAACTTTTATGTCAAGACGTGTTGTGAGGAGGGTTGCACAAGGGGTCACGCACGCGCACTATTATGGCGCTATGGTTCTATTTCGTCAAGTTTGCAGAAACAGACCCCCCAGATGTTTCCTCCTCACAGCCACACACATGCAACCACTGTCCTTAAAGCCGGGGTCAAAAACGCACGCACATAAATTGTGCTGTCACTTTAATATTTCATAGTTCCAATAAATCGACATTTAAAAAAGAATCGCAGTATGGACCCAATACAATATCCAAATCCTAGTAGGTGCAAAATGTACTAAATATGGTATTCTACATACTTCCTTGATTGCGACAGATACTCCCTCACAATATGGTCATTGTAATGTATTTTTCAATGATAATGTGATTAATGTTTAAATAATGCAAATTTCCGATAATATTGCAAATAAAATCGCAATTGCAAAAAATATTCAGATCTTTTTTTCCAAAGACACATGAGCGACTTACTGATAGTGATGGCTTCCCTCTCAGCTCATCTTCTGTTGACATGAGCAGCATCTCGATCTCCTTCACCCTCTGCTCCTTCTCGGGGTCCTCCTCGTTATAGTGTCTCTGCGAAAAAGTGGGCGGGAGTAAGGTTTTAGTGACAGTCCATATTATTTTCTAACAATCCTTCCTGTAGCCGCACTAGAGTGAGTGCGTTTACTTGCTGTGTTTACCTGTATAGCAGCAGTTCCATGCTGGGGAATGTTCCGGATGTTAAAAGGCAGCGTCATCTGGAACGGTACCTGTTAATCCAATCAGAAACACACGTTAAATGAATAAATCACCTGCAGCAAAGCAATCAGAATTCTATAGTTTCCCCCTCCGTCACTCCCTGAAAGCTCACTCACCCTGTGTGTGTCGGAGATGTAGTAGAGTTGCGACAGTGGAGACATCTGCGTGTGAGCGGGCGAGTGGTGGGGGTAGCCCATGATGTGATTGCTGTTCTTGACGTAGCCGTGGCTGATGGAGAGCGATGAGTTGCCGTTTTTTGCCGTTAGCTGCAGATAGCCCTCCTGCTCCACCTTTCTCCTCATGGTGGAGTTCCAGTGGTTCTTTATAGCGTTGTCAGTCCTGGGTGTCACAAAGAAAAGCATGTATTAACTTGCAGGGTATTTATTACAAAACACATGCGCAAAGACATGCTAGTGATACTTGACAGCGTTATCAATTCACACACACACAGATGTTGCTACAGATAGTCACACACACATCTGATAAGGTTATTAGTAAAAGCTCAATCATGTCTAGACTACATTATCTTTTTCGTCTTTGTCTTAGTCATTTGATTCTCGGCCCTTCTCTATAAAAAAATTAAAAAACCACTGTGTCTTTTAATCTTTATTCCTCTGAATGTTCTGCCACTACTTCTCCTCTTAGTTGTTATTTCCCTTCAGTGTCCTCTCCTCCATTTCACCCTCTCAACCACAACATTGCACAATCAACCAACCAAGAGCTCAAGGATTCATCTAGCTTCTCTTTTTTTCCTCTCTCTGCCTTACCTGCCGGGGAGCAGCTTAGCGATTTCGGCCCAGCGGTTTCCCAGCTTCTCGTGGGCCTGGTAGATGATCCGGTCCTCTTCCTCGGTCCACGAGGTCTTCTTCACCTCCGGGTTGAGGTGGTTGTGCCAGCGCTCGCGGCATTGCTTGCCGATGCGCCCCTTCAGGTGCTTGGCGATGACCGACCAGCGCTTGGCTCCGTACTTCTGCACCAGCTCGATCACCTGGGGTAGGTGCGTGTTTGTGTGTGTGGGGGTTAGAGAAAGAGGAAAGACCAGAGGAGAGGAGGAAGAGCGTTGCAAAGGTAGAGAAGTATGTGGTAGTGGAAATGCGTGAGGAAAGAGGAAGGAAGGAGCAATAACAGGGAGGAGAGGGAGAAGTAAAGGGGGGGAGGAAAATAACAAGGTGAAAAGTATGTGAGGGGGGAGAAAAAGACAATAAAAAACACGTTAGAGAAGAATCTCTTATACATTGTGCCAGTGAATGCTTATCCTCTCCTTCTTCCTTCTTTCTTTATCTTCCTTAAGAGGTGATTGAGAACACCTGCTGGTGAGCAGGGAGGGAGTTTCCAGTGGAACGTTAGCCACTCTGCTAATCATTACAGTGGCATCTGGGTGGAAATATAACGCCTTTGGACTTGTTCAATAAACACTTCACTGGCTTCCATGGACTATGCATGCTGCTCGTTGGGTAACAGCAACTTTTTGGGAAACTCAAAATGTGCAACAGCAGCCAAGTTGTTGCTACAGAATAGCTTTTTTATTACCCTGAATGACACCCGATTGCCTGCACCTACATTACTCTAACATCTAAAGCACTTCTGCATTACTATGCAAGGTATTTACTATAATACACAAAGTGAAATGTGCTTTCTTTCTTGAATTTCATTTTGCATTTTGCTTACCCTCTGGTCCTCCTCTTTGGTCCAAGGCCCTTTGATGAGCTCTGGGTTCAGAACCTTCTGCCACCTGTGCTGACACTGCACATCTGAACGATTCTGGTAAATCACAAAGCATGAGATTAGTAATCATCGTTATGTATTGGGAAGTTATTTTGTGCATCTGTGCATGCAAGTGTGTAAGCACAGGCCCTCTTACTCACAGTTAGTAAGCTTGCAATGAGTTTCCAGTCTTCTGACCCGTGAAGTTCGGCAAGTTTCTTTAACTTCTCATCCTGAGTGAAGAGAAAACATATTGCAGTCTGTCAGCCATCTAATAAATATGTCACTGCGATGAACATCAGCCCACATCAGTGAATGTGGTTGGACCAGACAACAATGAAAAGAAAGGTTCGTGTGAGGTGATCGCCCCTGAGGAAATGTACATAATCAAATAACGTTGTATTGTACAGAAGGTTTTGAATGTGTGTGTACCTCTTCTCGTGTCCAACGTGTTTTGCCGAGGTGGCGTTTCCCTGCCTTGGCCAGCGCTCCATCATAATCATGTTCATACATCTCGTTCTCCTCCTCATCCTCCTCGCTACTGTAAACACTGCCGACATGAGAGAGAGAGGGAGAATAAAATGAACAAAAGGTGGCGACTGTGTGAAAATAACAGTGTAATATAATAGAAAGGTAAATAATAAGCACAATAAGGACCGGCCTGTTTCCAAACTACTCCCTAATTGTCTCTTTACAGAGCACATAAAGAACTCTTTAACTCATCAGGTGTCAACACAGACAGAACCAGTCATTCTTGAAGGTCTGGGTGCAGGCTTTTAGCCAAGACTGGGGAGAGAGAAAAAAAAGAGAGAGAGAGAGGGAGAGGAAGAACCGCAAGTGGGAGGGAGGGGGGGATGGATGAACAGGTTCCAATGTTTTTGGTTTCCACAGATACTGGGATTGGCACATGCAATCATAATTTCGTGACCCTGGCGTGTTCAGACCTGCAGTGACATTGTACAGCACGGCACAGTCATACATGCATGCACACACACACACACACACACTGACACTGAGTGACTGGTTAACCAATCAGAATGTAGAACACAGAAAACGTGGAAGCTAGGTAGGGTACCTTGGTGTGATAAAGAGCATTAGTTAAGGAGGAACCCCACTGAGAAGTGCGTGTGTGTGTGTGTGTGTGTGTGTGTGTGTGTGTGTATAAGAGGATATTTACTTTGGATTATCTTCCTTATGTATGTCCATTTACCTGTGTGTGAATACCTGTAATAAACAGCAATGACCATACACAACAAAAAACGTAATGGTGTAAAACAAGAGTATATTGTAAGTGAATGCATATAAAATGATAATTTGTGAATTGTATAAATTGGCTGTTTTTAAGGAAAACAAAGGAAAAGGACACCAAATAATAACTATATTCAAACCATTAATTGCTTCACATGAACAAAAAAGCAATTAAGAGACAATGAACAGAGTAGCTCTACTCATGTTGAGAATGAAACTAAAACAGTTTAGAGATAATAATTGCTCTTATCTCTGAGCGGGGTTGCTTTGTGTGAAGCGATCTATCACTTTCTTCAGGTTATCTGTGTAAAACCATCAGACTGAACCCATAACCCGAAACAATGATAGGTAAAACCAGGCACGAAACCCCAATGCAATAAGCAGCTTCTTTACAGGAAAAGCCCATAAAGAACGCGTACACAATGGTAAACTAATGAGAGTGACCGGAGGTTAAATGTGTGGCTATTCTTGTAATAGAACAAGGGTAATCAACAAAAAAATATTCAGCCACTCGTGGAAACAAGTGTGCACAAAACAGACACAGTTTCCAAAATAACAGTGAGCGCCCCTCGCTATCAGAGATGCTGCGGCGGGGTATGCACGTTTCAAAGCGGGATTAAAATAAACGTTATGCCAGATATATGACCCAATCTCAAAACAAAGCGAGAATGAAAACATGTGCCTGACTGAGGTGATGGTCCCCGGAAAAAAACTAGCTAAATAATACAAGAGAAACAATTTCAAAGCTTTCTATAACTTATTTTAGGACATGAGCTTGTGTGCTGCAATGCATTCTATGTGTCTATGAGCGTCTAGACTGAGTTAGACATACGCTATGCTTCAGTGTGTATGATTCATTATAAGCGTATTAAAACCAATGTTGTCCATGCACCGCTTTGCGCACGGCGTGGCACGCGCCTGTCCACCCGCCTAATGTTATTAATCCGCGTGTGTGTGTGTGTGTGTGTGTGTGTGTGTGTGTGTGTGTGTGTGTGTGTGTGTGTGTGTGTGTGTGTGTGTGTGTGTGTGTGTGTGTGTGTGTGTGTGTGTGTGTGTGTGTGTGTGTGTGTGTGTGTGTGTGTGTGTATTTGAGAGGGAGACCCCTTTCTCCCTCTCACCGCTGACAGCAGCGCGAGGAGCGCACATGCCAGATGACCACCACCTGTCATGGGCGCGCGAGTTAGACACACACACCACTACTCTGCTTTATCGGCCAAGAAAACAAAACAACGCATCACAAACACAAAACAGGCTTGTAAAATAAAGAGTTGACGAAAAAATAAACATGAACTCTGTCAATATGATGCACAACATTAATGCTGTGAGAAGAAAAACAGAAACTCCGTCAGTTTAACGCGCAAATAGAGGGAAAATGAAAGTTAAAGATACTGCAAATAAAATAGTTATTGGCTTGTTTGAGCTTACCTGTTTCTCGGCCGCCGAGCCATGTTAATATGTGTAGAGCGGCTCTCAGGTTGCGCTGAGCACGTACTTTCGCTATCTCTGCTGGTTTTGATCTACTGGCAGAGTCAGGTTGACATTAATTTAAACTACACAGCCTCTACTACTGCTCCGCCCCCTTCTAGCATCCCGGTAAAATTGGCGCTTCTGAGCTGTGCTACTGCGCATGCCCAGGTAGTATGCTTCAAAGACCATCGGACGTTACTGTTTGAATGAACATGTGGAAAGTCATAATTGTAATGTTCTCTCCATTAAATGTTGTCAAATTATAAGTAAACATAATGATTATTAAAATAGAAAACACACTTTTTAGGTTTTTGTTTTTTTCCGCTATGAAAGACAAAGTAAACTATGCAAACCGATGTTGATAACACTGCTTAGCCAGAACTACACTGCTAAAATATAAAATACTCATACCATGATTAAAACGTGTCTGGATAACATATTCTTGCAAGGGTCAATTGAATGTTGGTGAAATAATATTTGTGCCTAAATGGTTAAATTGTAAATATGCATAGGTTTATACACATTTACGAAGCACCCTGAATGCACCGGGCACTACACAGTCGACTTGTCAAAGGCGCGTTTCTGTTGGTTGTCCGCGCTAAATGCTTTTTGTCAACAATATGTGTGAGTTACTTCTCATCTGGTGAAAAGGAGAAGGGACGGAGCAAACAATTGGGGAATGGGTTTGGCATGTGTACAAAGTGAATGTGTAGTGCTGCTTTCTGTTCTCGGCTACTTGTTAGTAGTGTAGTGCTGCTTGCTGGTGTTGCATACACAGATGTTTCTCAGTGATAAAGCTTTCACGACCCGGCTAGACTATTATCATCAAGCGATAAAACAAGCTTTTGTCCTCACCAAGACAAGAAATAATGTTAAAAAAGAGAAACTAATTGAATGTCACTTCTGCTTGAGGTGATTTATTGCACTTAACTTCTAGACCAACTTCCTTTAAAGCAAAAAAGCCTTCATTTTAGAGTTGTTCCTCAAGTTACCTTTAAATCTTCTAAACAGGAGCTTGCTGATAATGTCTTTGCATGTATTCAAAATAATCCACATTTAAATTAGGAACTTGTTTAGCCTGTTTTTCAGCAACCTTCTCTCAAAGATGAGTAATGTAATTATGATCCAGCTGTATTGCATAAGTTCTGCTTTATTCTTTATTAATGCAACTGGCCACCACCACCATGTATTATGATTATCTTGTTTTGGTTGAGTTCTCCATCTTCCCTGCTCTAGGACTGTCATCGCTCCGCCATTCATTGCAAGGGAGAAGGGGGGCTTAATGCTTTATTTGTATAAATGTGTCTTCATTGTATTAGTTCCTCCATACGCGACCGTATTGTCCTGGTCACTTGTAATTACCATCACCCCAGACCAGTCTATTGTCCCAGAGCAGTCATCATAATAGTGGCCTGATAAAGGGCTACACACAGTCTTACACACATGGCCTTGGACTGCACATTTTACTATTTCATGCAACAGGGTGGACAGAGTGCTCAGTGAAGTGAATCACTCAGTGTGTGTGGACAGGGGGAAATATGAAGATTTACAGAATTGAACATGGAGTAAATGAAGTACAGCATGGGAGGTATTTTGTTTGAATTGGTCTGTTATTAGTTAAATATTGATGAATTGTGTTGGTTTAGAGGCTACATATGTGTAATATCATCATCTGCTTTAGACTTCAAGTGCCAATATGTCTTACTGCGAGCCTATAATTGGTGGTTGCCTGGTTGCAATCGCCTGTAGGCTTCAAATCCTACACACCTGTGTACACAAGCATTGTTCCATTCATTTTTGCCTTGAGGAGCTGGTGGTTCTAATCTATTCAAATTATATTTTTTTTATAGCAGCTATCCTACAAAATTGCCATACAAGATACAAAGTAAAAAGTCAGGAAATAGGAGTAGAATAGAAAACACTTCGTTGGGAACATTTAAAAACATCATACTGTATTACATCCGGACACATTCAAACAAAGAAAAGGACAATCAGTTCATTATAGTACAGCACAACAATAAGTAAACATCAGAAATAGCCAGTGATAACGCCATTGTAAAAAGAAGCAAAATAAATAACCAAAATCATACTTCAGTATAAACAAATATGTCATTCTGATTTTACATGTGTGAGTTGTGCACCTTTAAATATGTGTGTTAAGCTTTCTTCTGCACAAGCCCCTATGTCTCTTCCCTCGAGGGTATTATTAAAAACTACATTTTGTTATCTGAAACCAAATTGAATGAAAGGAGCCAGTGTATGCAAATTCACAGTGTAGATTGAGTAGGAAGCCTGGGACCCATTGACTCCTAGCTAAGGACATTTGCATGGGTGCGATTGGACAGGTTAAGGGCAGGTATTGTGATGGCCGCCCCCTTTGCAAAGCATTGTGTGCACAGGTTGACTCATTTGAATGATTTTTAATGATGGCTTCTGGGCTTGAGATATCACCCCACCATGCTTTCAGATCCAATGTTGGGAAGGCCAAACATGTGCATTGTTATGGTCTGTGTGAGAGTGTTTGTCTATGTGTATGTAAAGGCCTGTGTTGGAAAAGGGTTGATCCCAAGCCAAATAGTGAACTTGATCCTGTATGGTTATGTGGTTAAATAAACCCATATGTTGACTTTTGCTAATATATGTATATAAACATGCAAAGGATGTAAACATTATACTGCAGTACCTTTTAAATCCAGCATAAATATGAGGAACATTATGACTTTTACATTATTTTAAACCTGCTTGCTAATAATCGATTGTAATGGTCAATGATATTTAATATGTGTCATGTTTTTCAAGCAATTCACTAATTATTTTAATTTAGTTTCATAATTATAACCTTTACATTTTATAGGCTTCTTTAAGGACTTCATATGTGTTTTTGTGTTGACTCTAGTTTGGACCACCTGTAAAAGACTCCCCAAGTTGTAGGTTTTGCATTTGCCCAGGGGGTGAGGTCCTGTGAAAGACTTTTCCTATGATGCCTGGTGCCCTTGGCAAATTATGGAAAGCATTACCTCATACCCACTGCCAACTTTTGGGCTGTACTTCACCCCTCACCCAGTTGCACATAAGCTTTGTCTTCTACAATTACACCAGGATTAATCTGTTTTCAGATTTGCATGCTGTTGTTGACTAATTTGCAATACTATGCTTTCACTTAATTCCCTAAACCATGGCCACCCACTTGTTCTCTAACATTTTGCACATCTTTTAGAATTATATGAATATAATTCGGTTACAGAGGAAAATAATTATGATTGCAAACCATACTGTTTATAAGTCATTCAATTATACAATTTCTACATCATTTAAACAAAGCATGCATCCACTGATCCGCTCATTCTTCTAGCAATCTGTCCATCCATCTGTTTAATACATCTAATCAGCACAACATTAGTTCTCTAAGATATCCTCCTCGCCCACCACTGATTCATTGAGCAATCTTTCCGTGAAATCTGTGACCACATTATCAAGGGTGTGAGAATGAAACCCCGGCTTTTAGCCAGAAGTAACCCATGCTTAATTCATCTCTAAATGGGATTAAATTATCAAAGCAGAAAGACTAAATAAATAAATATAAAGAAACAAACATATTCATTAAATTCATATCGCTGATGATCACTGTGCTAGAGACTTTTGGTTTTTGTAGGTTATGTTAAACCAAAACAATGCCAGCTTCTAGTGGAACATAATGCATTTCCATTACATATCAGTTGCTCTTTGCCGCCTTTTGGTTTTGTGTCCTAGAACAATTTTAGTGATGCAAAGGAAGAGTTCCCTCTCTGTCACCTGTGTGACCCTGTAAAGTGAGCATGTTTGTGTCTGTTTACCTGTGAGTGCATGTGTTCTCTGTGCACGCAGTGGTTTATTTTGACATGTAGATGTGCAACCAAGACTTCAAAACGCAGGAAGTGGAATTTTAGAGGGGAAACCTCCACCCACTTTGAGGCACACGCGCACCAAACACGCACATAAAGAGACGCAAACTCTTAACGAAAGGTGACATTTTGCGACAATAAATAATAAAATAAAAATACTCCTGATATGAATGATACCCCTCATGTTTTTACATGCTTGCTCCTTTCAATTAAAGCTTTTCTTGTCAAATTACCAGTTGTAATATGAGCCATTCATTGTGAAAAGGTTTTTACAATTACCTAAGCAGACGTCTTTCTTCCTTCTGCTCTATTTTTAGATTGGGGTGACACCCCAAACCTCATATTCAATTTCACTGGTGCAGATGTGCAAGTGCATATTTCACCTAGATCACTGATATCAGATTATGTTATGACATTTTAATCGTCTTCTTTTTCATCGGCACGCAGGTTACTAGATGAGATCAGGACAACATCATCTATCAAAAACCACAAATGCACACACCTGCTGCTCACATATGCGTGTGAACATACTGTATAGGACATGTAGAAATGCAACAACCAAGTCAGAGATAAACATGTACACCAAAACAAGTACTTCCCTTTCGTGGTATGGCTATACGTTTCTTGTGAAGATAGTAGGAAAAAATGATGTCCTTTATTGTGTTTGTGTCTGGGTAAGGTGTGTAGAGTGTGGGCTCAGATGGGTTGATCTCTAACCATAGGGCATAACCTTTGACAATTTTTTTTTTAGAAATTCACACCTCAAAAACAGGATTGGCAATGTATTTTGTGCAGACACACTGTCATCTAATTTCATTGCACTTCATTTGAACTCTTCAAATCTTATTTAAGGTTGTGCAAAGAGGAAAATCTCTTTACTAATTTGTCTTTGTTCTTCAAATGAATTAGACATGGCAAATATGCATTTCAAGTGTTTCCTCGTCCATTAACCAAGACAGCATTACATTGAGGATTTTTGATAAATTCATACTTTGCATGTCCTTCATACTTTTCTGTCCCTAAATCTAATATCAGTTGACTGCTGATCAAATAAAGCTCTACAATAATCAACTGATTGGAATTCACTTTATATCTGACATACAGTGTGGTGTTTAATGAAGTCTGTTGGGGAGATCCTCACCTCAGGCCGCATTAGAGGGAACTGCAACAGGAAGTTACGTCAGCAGCAAACAAAAGAATTGTCTGAAAGCAAGTTTTTATTTAATTTAATAATTAGGTTGCTAACCATCCAGCCACAGAAAACCAAACGTGGAAATTAAATTCGTTTTTATACCTCAGTTTTAATTTATCTTTTTTTTTCCGGGCTTCAGAATCAATCTGAGTGCCTACTGTTGTACTTTCACCGAGCAGCAGCAGCCGCAGCAGCCGCAGCAGCAAAGGCGACTGGCCGTGAGCCGAAACACATTTACGCTCAAGCCGAGAGAAGAAACTTAAACAAAATGTCTCGGCACAGAAATGTTCGAGGTTATAACTACGATGAAGGTAGATACCCTCAAATAGGTGCTGTTAACCATTTAGGCGTCACGACAAGGCCTCAAATTCGTTAGCCTGCTAAGCTAACATGTACTGTTGTTGATTGTAGCGTTAGCGGCTAATACTAGCTACTTTAGCTGGCAAGATAACATTGCAGTCGTGTCACTTCGCCCCTTTCTCAAGATACATTGCTCTTTAATACTGTTTTCTACGTATATCAAGGTTTCGGAGAAAGGTTACAACGTTAAAACATGATGTGATGTGCCTATAACTAATCATCTTTATAAAAGTTCTCGTTAGCTGACTTTGCTTCGCTAACAGGCTAGCTTTACAGTGTTTTGAAATAAACGTTACAAGCTTCTGCTACTTTATTGAATATGGTATATTGAAATTGCCTGACCTTATTCATATATTAAGCCTACTAATATCTAAAACATACAGTGAAGTTGATAGAGATGATTAACTCGTTCCCGATTTACTGTTTCTTATACATTCTGTAAAGTTGCTGACCACGCAGAGTGACAGCTGTAACAATGACTCATTATCTGTACTTCTACTGCATTATATATCTATGCTTGTGTAAACTGAGCAAATGGGAAAACATTTGAACCTTAATTATTTTTCCTAGACTTTGACGATGATGACGTGTATGGACAGTCTGTGGATGATGACTACTGTATATCACCAGCAACAGGTTAGTATCATTGGAACCAATATTATAGCTCAGCAAGAATATATGTTTGCTAATGGACAAGATTAATCTGTAAGAACATTGTTTCACATGATTTGTAAAATAAAATGACAGTTAAAGATAACAGTAGTTATGTTTCAATTAATGAAAAAAGCACATTTCTATAATATCTTTCAATAAAGGATTAGTTTATATTCTGCAGCATTAACCCGGTATCATAAATATTAGTTTGAAAGTGTCCAATAAGGTATTTGTGTTTTATACAGCAAATCAGTTCATCTACTCACGTCAAGAGAGGCAAGCACCAAGGGAGCAGCCTTTAGAAGAGGAAGCATATGAAGATGACGTACCCATGTCCCCTACCGTCAGCCTCAACCTAGACCCTCTTGATCAAGGTAATATTATGAATTCCCTGCAACGGTGTGACAGATAATGGAGATTTTCTGACCTTTACATTTGTTCTTGAAAATGTGCTCATTGAAGACATAATGTGTCTGTTAAAAGTTTTATTTTCTAGAACATTTTTTTAAATGTATTATTTATTTTCTGGATTGCTAATGAAATGTCTGTCTAATGTGTGTGTTGTTCTTTATAGCCAAACTGTTTTCCTGTCTGGACCATATGCGGACTGTGTTGGGAGATGCAGTGCAAGACTCAGTCCTGACCCAGGCAGCCATAAGCTGTGGATTTGACCCACAGAAGGCCTTGGATGCAGTCCTCTCTGAAGATGCTAAGACAGCCCCAGTTACCAAAAGCACCAATGAGGAGACAGCTTCAGCCGCAATAGCAAGCCAGGAGAAAGCGCCGCTTCCACAAAGAATCAAGAAAGAGGCCGTCGCTGAGAAAGGTACGCTTGGACCAGATCAAATTATGAAAATGTTATGAGTCAGGGATTGTGATCAGTGATCCGCTGTGAATTAGAGAATGGTTAATTTTGACATTTGACATTTTCTTCGACTTATTTGTCAAACAAAGCACAAGATCTGATAAAGTTATTATCCACTACGGAAAAAAGATTCATATATTTCTTATGAAATTAATTTATGTTTACTTTTTATTTTCTTGTCATGTAGCCACTTAAAGATCTAGTTCCCCTTTTTTAAGGAATAATAATAATCAATTACCTCTTTTCAGAATGAATACCAACCGTGCCAAATTTAAGCATTTATCTTAAATAATGTTCATTGTATTGTACTTATAAAAACATGTGTGCAATGACACATTTTACTGATGCAACTGTTTAACAAAGTGCCTTCTTCTGTTTTTCTCCCTCTTATTTCCGGCATGATTCATCTGACTCCTGTTCTGTTGTCCTCCTGTCTCTTCTCTTCGACAACTCTAATTGGCTTTTGTAAGGTAAGGAGCCCACACAGACATTACATCCAATGCACACAAACCCCAGACGGATTGTCTCAAACAAACACAACCGCATGCGCAAGCAAGTGCTTTGCGTGACCTCATACCGCAATATAAGGCTGACCCTGTGGTTAGCAGCTCTGTAAATCTAAATGGGGGTTCAGGTATTGCCAGTCTGGCACAACTTATGTCTGAGCATGAGCAGAAGAGTAAGGCGACAGGAGTAGGTGACGCAGGGCGAGGTTTTGGAATTCCCTCATTAGGTGCTCTCGCCATCGGACATAATTCACCTCCGTCAATTATGTCTAATCAGAAGGGTCTTTCATTGGGAACACTGGCATCTTTAAACATGACTTCAGCATCTCAAGGCCCAGCTCCATCCCTCCTCTCAGTTTCCCTCAGTAGTATGTCGCTAACCAACCCCAAGATAACAACTGCAAGCTCTTCTCTGGCGGCTCCTCCTGGGTTTGGGAGTCTAAGTTCTGTCCTCTTGAGCAATCAGCCCTCAGTCGGAGTTGCGATTGGAGGCAAAGCCAAAAAGGCTGATCCTAAGGGAAGCCCATCCTTGGCTGATTTAATCCAGGAATATTCAAACCGCAGCCCGACCCTCAGTAACTCCTTTCCTACTCCCCTGAGCTGCGTAACTTCTGTGACGTGTCAGGGAATGGCTGCATCAGCACAACTATCCCTCTCTGGGCTCGCTTCACAGCACCAAAACAAAAATACACTCATTCAATCGCTGTCGCAGAGCACTAAAAAAACAACAAACACTCTCCCCTTTCCTAAACAAACCAACAATACTCCTGCAGGCCTTGTTGGTGGGACTGTGTCATTGTCTCAGCTAGCACTGCAGCATCAAACCAACAGTTCCTTTGCTTCCCCTCAACCCTTCAGCGGTGAATCTCCAGCAAATGCACTGAAACACCCACCTGGCATCTCTGAGCTGCCCTCTTTGACACATTTGGCGACTGAACACAAAGGCAAAACCTCAACCACCTCAAATGGGTCACAGTATTCCCTCAGCTCTCTCCTTTCACCAGCAAAACCAGAGAGGGCTGGTGTGTTAGCAGAAAGTACTGCAGAGGGTGGGACCAGGCGTAAGGTCGACCACAAACCATACCACCAAAGCATCAGGCCACCTAAGATGAAGCATGCTATTGATTTGAGTGCTCTCATGGCCCAGTCGGATGGAGCAAGCCCTCGTCACTTCGACAGCGACCCCCCTTCACCTTCTTCTCCAAATTCTGTTGCCACAGGACTGGATCCTTCAGTTTTTGCACAACCATCAGTATTTGCGATCACTTTGTCGATTCCAGGCCGCAGAAAACGGAAGAGGATGATTAATATATCCAAGGGAGGAATAAGAGTTCAGAGGACAGGAAGTGGTTACCAGGCCTTCCTGTGTGAATCACAGGACAAATCCGAGGAGCCGCACTCGCCACTCTCGCCAATTGTACCATTCGGCTTCGAATCGCCTTCACCTGACGACGTTGTCCGTGCTAATCATACAAAAGCTTTCACCAGGTAGAGGAGAGGAGGAAATGAAAAGCACTTCAGTCACCAGGTTGGTGCTAAATTGACTCTTACTGGGATGAGAACTGTTTTTTGGCAATTCCTCCACCAACGGAACTAAACCCAACGTTTTAACGGTGTCTCACTATTAGTGGTGTGGTTTAAAGAAACTTTTGGGACCAACAATACGACGGAACTCGCTGCTGATCACTGCCTCATAGAAACAGTATTACTAAAGAGCCGATGTATTTCTTTTTTTAAAGATTCAAACAACAAGTCTGACATTGCTTGAAGAACAACAAAAGTCTTTTAAGTCAAGCAGGATAAACCACTCCTTGGCATTTTGTTTCTAAACACTATTAGTATTTTAAAAACGTTTAGATCTCCTGATTTAATGCATTTACATTTTTTCTACTTTTAAAATTTGAGTCTTATTTTTCTACGCTTATATGGCAGTTGGCTTTTTTATCAACTTCTTTTGTGGAAAGTAGTTTATTCTTAGCCAGGGAGAATGTGCATCTCTTACTGCACGGCCTCTTTTCTAGTTTTGATCTGCATGAACCCTCAAAAGAGAAAAAGAGGTTCATTTAGTTTTGCAGGTGTGCTGCAGCTATTGGAATATGGATCAGTTAACCATTGTTCTGGTTTACTGCTGCTTGTGTTTTAGATCATGGGGTAGACATTTTGGTTTGGAGAACACCTGGAGATTTTCCCATGGGGTTGCGAGAACAAACACATGCACGTGCATGCACAGACAACCACACAGATACACACACACAGATACACACACACACAGACAAGTGAACACTTTTAATTTTTTACATTGAAGCAATAAGTTTACTTTGAATGGAAGCGGTGTCATTTAAGAGTGCAGTGAATGGAAAATGAATGACTTAACTGCTGAGGTGAAAGAGGTTTTACCTGCTCTTAGAACAAGCTTTTAATATTACAATGTACAAATGAGTTTATTTTACACTGGGTGTGTCATGACACTCTGCCAGAGGATTTGTACATTTTGAAATAAAGATGACTGATTGTACATGCTCTGAAAGCACCTGTCTCTGGGTGTGTCTCTGGTTGTGCTTGGGTTTGCTTCTGTGTGTCTGAGTGTAAATATGTATCTTTGTTGTATTGAACCTATTTTACATAACCAGTTAAAATAGTGCTCCATTTCCTTTTTGGATCTAAAATGAGTTGAGTATTTATGTTTATACAGTGGTAGGTCTATATTTAAAGATAAACTATTGGCCATACAATATTATGGAGTCGAAACAAGCGCATGCCAATTTTCAAAATGAAATATAAAATAAATAATCTGTATCTTGTATGCATTTTTTTTAAGGTTGGCCCAGGGTTTCTCGTGGCATGTCTCATTTTTTGTGTGAGTCAAAGGTATTGGTTTGCATGGTGAATCTTGTCCTTTAAGAAAAGCATGGTTAACACCTACGATTAGACAAGGACCGGTTGGTTTATAATAGGGCTGTACCAAATAGTTGGAAGCCTCATTTGTAACATTACATTCTCAATCTATATTCTAATGCTGTGCAGCTTCCTCTTTTTGCATGATTATTCGTTCTGCGTAATGATCAGGTGACACTTATGTTATTTGTTTTGTGCTATTAGTAGAATGAGATTATATTGGTGACTGCGTAGGTTTGTTTCCAATTAGTCTAACCAAATATTTTTGATAACTCCACACCATTTAAAGTTTAAATTTCAACATTATAAAAGAAGATAGAATTTTTTCATCTAGGAAATATTCTGCTTTAATCCAACAAAATGTCTGGCCTACTTGCCGCACACCCCTCTACTAATGGGACATTCTAACACAAACATAATAGCTCCAACAAGAAAGATATTTGATTTACTAAAAGAAGACTGATTTAATTGGATGAATAACTTCATTTAAAGTGGACCTATCATGCTATATTGGAAACATATATTGTAGGGCCATACCTATACAAAACATGTCTGTGAAGTTTTTTGCTTAAAATACCAAACAGATCACCCATTGTAGCCATGCCTCATACTGCTCATACCCCTCTATTCCAGCCCTGTTAGAGAAAACGCAGATTTTGGGTCCTTAGCTTGAAAAAAGAAAAAAAGGAGGCGGAGCTAATGCCTGATCAGAATTCTACTGGAGATAAAGTTAAATTCTGCTGTGATAAAACGCCATCCTGTTCTAAACCACATCAAGGATTATTTCTGAAACAGTATGGAGCTCAAATGCTTTTTATCACAAGGTGAGTTCCTTTTTTCATTTCCTGCTTTTTAAACACATGTGCTCTACAGTACAGGTTAGCTCTGAATGTTAGCGAGGCTTGCTAATGTAAACAAAGACGAGATTACGTCCAAAACACGTCAGGCATTGTTTCTGATAGCAACTTTCTGTGGGTCCGCAGCCGATTTGACGTCATATCGGCAGCAAATCTGTATCCGCTCGTTGTACCCCCGTTTTTAAAAGATTTGGGTACGGAGGAAAAGAGAAAGGGTTTTATTTCCTGACGCTGCGTGAGTTCCCCGACGCACCGGGGACACATATTTATGTATAAAAGACATCAAAAAGTGCATTTTGCATGATCGGTCCCCTTTAAATTAGGTTTTGTTCGAGGGATCTTTTTAGGATGATGACGTAATAAAATATGGCGACAAACATTCAAAGCTTCATTTAAAAACCTCAATAGAGGCTTCAAATGTGAACAAGCCCTAGTAGATATTAACAACATGTCTTAACAGCATTTAGGATCCCTGTTATATACACAGTCTTGTTAACCCTCAAAACCTCCCGCCTAATCTTCTGACTGTCGGTACACTTTTGGTCAGTATTGTATTTATGAGACAGGAGGAGATGATTAGGGCTGATGTCACTCTTTCATTGCTGTTAAGTTGTGTTCTTTGTCTGTCTCATTGTTATGTTAAATGTGTAAATGCTCTTTGAGTGAAGGTGTAGATGTGTGTAAACCTTATACAGGTGCTAAA